TTTATTTTTTAATGTTTATTTATTTATTATGTACAGTGTTCTGCCTGCCTGTGTGCCTGCACACTAGAAGAGGGCACCAGATCCCATTATAGATGGTTATGAGCCACCATGTGGTTGCTGGGAATTGAATTCAGGACCTCTGGACGAGCAGCCAGTATTCTTAACCTCTGAGCTCTCTCTGTAGCTCCCCAAGTTCGATTCTCAGAGCCCCTGTATTTGTTGAGTCTGGGTGTGATGGGAACCTCAGGTGGGCCAAGGGTTGAGGGTTGAGTTGGGGAATGGAGAAGTGCCTAACCTGTCTTGCCCATGGCTGTGGCATGCACTGGTCCATAGCTGCTGGTAGAGCCCATGGATCCATGGAAGGACCAGGGCTCTGACCTCTTTCCTGTGTTGTGGCATCATCCAGCTGCCATGGATGGTGGGCCATCGTTGCCAGCTGAGGTTATAGAGAAACAGGCTCGGAGGCTGGGGTTTCTTCATTTGTGTAGGAACTGCTAGCTCTGTCTCTGTGCGTGTCCTCAACACTGGTTTTTACCTTATCTGTGGCTGGAGTCTTGCCTCTCCATTGACTGGGCAACTTTGAAGGCTGGAATGGCCCCAAGTCACAGAATGTCCTATGCTTCTTTGCCAACTGTGACTCACTTCCAACTCAGCAAGAGGCTGGGGGTGTGGCCGCTACTCAGGAGCCCAGTGTAACTAGAGTGGGTATAAAACTGACTGGCTCTCCACCCTGTCCTATCAGCTTGCTGCCGATGCTGCTCTTGAAGATGACCATGCTGGTTATGTGACCCTGAGGGAAAGGGGTCCATAGATACCACAAAAGGCCACCATGCAGGACATCAGGCCGCCTGGGTTCGCTTACTGGCCTTACTTTCTCTGGGCAGTGCTGGCCAAAGGCTTGGTTCTCCAAAAGCTTCAATTTTCCTACATGTAGACCAGGAGCACAACTTACCCAGGCTCCAGGTGTGAGAAGGGCAGAGGAGGATTTGAACTTGGGTGTGGCTTGTGAAGCCTTAAGCTGTCCCTGGGACTGGGCTGGGCTTCCTGCCCCTAACTTTTGGCAAGGTGAGGTCCTAGGGGAATGGGGCAGTTCTGGTGGCTTCAAGATGTTTCTTTCTAGATGAGTAACACCAGATGTGGGCACCCAGCCCTGGGGTCTGCAGATGGTGAGAGAAACCTAGACATAGCTGGGCCTCTGAGGGTGGTCCTGAGGCAGCACTGGGCCTAGCAGAAGCTGGAGGAGTGGCAGGTGTTAGCAACATCAGGGAGCCTCCTGTCTGGGCTCCATCCCCAGTTACCCTTCTCCGTGGCCTTGGAAACATGTTCCACTTGGACCCTACTGCTTCAGCAGGTAGACTCCTGGCAATTCCTTGTCATGCCTGTCCTTGTCCATGCAAGCCAGTCCAGTATTGCTTCCCACAAGAAGCCACCAATAAATGTCTGTTGCAGGAAGCCTTTGAGGAATACTGGCCTACAGGGTGACCTTGAACTTTGTGTTTGATGGACAGGAAGCCTTTGAGCATTTCTGGCTCTGCAGGGCATCTCTTGAAGGGTGTTTGGTGGGCAGCCATGTCCTTGGTGTTTTCTAGAACTACCTTCATTTCCCTATGAGCTTGTGAGGTGCACTGTGGGCCCTCCTCTCCTTGCAGCTTTCAGAGCACGCATGGCCTGCCGTCTTCCCAGGAACTCAGGTCACCCCCTGTCCTGTTGTTGTGGAGCAGAGGTTTCCACCGCTCACCCTGGCTGTCTCCTTTGGCAGAAAAGGACTGGACAGAGGAGGATAGGGCCAGAGAGAAGGTGCTGATGCAAGAACTTATGACCCTCATCGAGCAGCGCGATGCCATTGTCAACTGCCTGGACGAGGACCGGCAGAGGTGCCACGCCTGGGACCCCATGGGGGGAGCCACTTCCTGACAGCCTGGGAGAAAGTTAGCCTCGCCCTCACTGCCAGCTTGCACTCTCACTTGCCCAGTCGTGTGGGGCCTGGAGGCTGGAAGGGACTCAGAGGTGACCTGGTTCCTTCCTGCTGCGGATGCTCAGCTTTTCTTTTCTACCCCAGGGAAGAAGAGGAAGACAAGATGTTGGAAGCTATGATCAGGAAGAAAGGTGAGGCTCATCCTGAGGAGGGGCCAGCACCTCCTGTGAGCTCCAGCCTGTGTTTGCAGCCTGGAAAAGGAAGGCTGATTAGGTTCTATAGGGATGGTTAGTTACAATGCAAACGCCCAGGCTGTGTTTTACTGGAGAGCCAAATGAAGTGAGGCCAGTCATAACCGTGTGGCTGTGGCTCAGGCTGTAAGGTTGGGGCATAGCCAGGGGATTCCCTTGTATCCATGGAGCATTGTGGTCCACCAGGGGCCGGGGGCCTTGGCCCAGGATGGTTTTGCCCGGAGTGGAATATCTACCCAGAGCTTTGCAGGTTGGCCTGGGGGTCTGGGGACCTAGAGCCTGCTCAGGACCAGAGCGCCTGGAGTGGCTAAGGGATGCTACCCTGAAAGCTAGGGCTTGGGGTTTGACCTTGGTTCTGTCTGTGGCTCACTGTGTGACCTTGTGGCTGAGGCTAGAGCCAGGCTGGCTTCTGGTCCCAGCTTGGGCATATGAGCTGGGGGACTGGGTCAGTTCCTTCAGCCCTCACCTCACTCCTTTTTTGATGGTGCCTCTTACAGGGCTAAGGGTTACAGAGCTGACTGTATAAAACGCCAGCCTGAGGTCCCAGGGAAAAAAGGAGACTGGGTATAATGACATGACTCGGTCCCTGGATGGACTGGTGCCCTTAGTTGTTGCATACCCACTCAGTGACGCTGGCCACTGCCCCATCCTGCCCTCGGTGCTCCCCTCATCTCTGGTTGTTGAGTGTCTTTGTTCTTTGCCACAGACTTCCAAAGAGAGGCTGAGTCTGAGGGTAAGAAGAAGGGCAAGTTCAAGACCATGAAGGTGCTGAAGCTGCTGGGAAACAAGCGCGAAACCAAGAGCAAGGCTTCTGGGGACAAGAGCTGACAGCAGAGGAAGCTGACTTCCTTTCCTCTCCTGGAACCTTGAGGCCAGAGCAGCACTCTGCTGCCCTTGGACCTGCCAAGGGGGATGATGACCGTGGGAGGGAGTCTCTGGGTGAGCTTTGCCCCTTGGTGGTCTCCAGCTGGTCTGGGTTAAAGTTTTTTTCCCTCTTCCCTGTGTCCCAGACAGCTGTGACTTAGCCCTGCCCACTTGGATTCTGATCCAGATGCTGTGATGTGCCCAGGGGCAAGCAGGGATGCAGAGGCAGTGGCTTTCCTTGTTTCTCTGAAGCAGGCCAGATGGGGCCTTCGCTGTCAGGCCTGCCCACAGCAGGCCCTGGCCTAGGGCGTGTGCATCTTGCCATAGCTCAGCAGCAAGACTGCTGCCTAGTTTCTTCCTTGCCAGCCCTGACCCCTAGTCCCTGCCTTCCTAGCACAGGTGCCCTTGAAACTCATGTCCCCTCACTCAGGAGTTCTATTTTTGACGTCTCAAGTCTGGCCCCTCACTGAGTGCTATGTGTGGCAGAAGGGGATGGTCCTGCTTCCTCTGCCTCCCAGGTTGTAGGAATCTCTTCTCTCATCTCCTTTGCTCTGTGGGAAGCCCACGCTGGGACCTGGTGGCTGTGCAGGGGTCAGGTCATCTTCAGAGGGTGTGCTTTGGGTAGGTGTTGTGCTCTGACCTCTGATTCAGGCTTTCTGCCCACCCATGCCTGGGGGATGGGTCCATTCCTTTTTGTGGTCTGTGCAGTCTGTTTTTTCTGTTGTCTGTTTCCTCCAGGGACTGCTAGCACTCACCACTGAGTCTCTGCTAGAACAGTGATGGGTACCCTTTTTCCCTGGGGGATGTGCCAGGCAGCTTATGGTCCAAGCACTGCTCTTGCTCTTGGGGACGTCAGCGCCCTTCCCTCTGTGCATCCTGGGAAGGAACACACTTCTGCAGCCTTGGGCACAGCCACCTCTCTGCCCTCTTGCCTGTCTGGGCTGCCCAGTCACTTGGGATCTTGAACACTGCCCACCTTTGGGCAGGATTCCCTTCCTGTTTGGGGGATGGTGCTTGTTCAGTCCCATGTAGGCCCTAGGAGTCTCTCCATATGCACTGGAGCCAGGGCCACCACCTCAGAGGTCTTTCAGAGGGGCCTTGTGACCCAGCTGTAACCCAAGAGAGGGTTCCATCAGGCTGTCTCAGGGTCAAGGGAAGTTCCATGGCTCAATGGAACAGATGTGTCAGAGTCACCTGTGTCCTGTGAACTTGGGCCAAGGGTTGCCAGATCTTGCCCATTTTTTCAGAAGAAACCCAGAATCCAGTTCTCGTACAGACATAATTTGTAAATGCTGACATCAAATTTGAGTTTGTCTCAGTGGGCTACCCTTGTCCTAGGTTTTCCAGTGTGCTAGACCTGTGAGGTGGAGGGCATGTTCCTACTGACTGGACCCTTATCTGCTGGCTGCTTCATAGTAGACACGTTTATTTTGTGACAAGAACACAGGTCATATGTTCTATTGGCATTACAGAACTTCCAGCAGGGGCAGGAAATAGCTTCATTTGTGGGGACAGGGAAAGGACACAGTACTGGTGAAGGTCAGGCTGGTCATTGTCAGCAGCATGAAGGAAGGATACTGAGGTGCTGTCAGTCAGCTGGGGAGCAGGGCTGCTTTCCTTCACCTCCAGGCTGGGGCCTCAGAGGCACTGGAATGGAACTGTGGCACCTGCCAGGCCCCTTTCAGTGTGGATCTCTCCATTTATATTTCTTCCATAGTCTCTGTTTGGAGAGAGCCAGGAAGGTGACCTTTTGCCCTGAGTGGGCTAAGCCTCAGTAGGAGGATAAGCTTGAGTTTTCACGCCACTGTCCTGAAGGTTAGCACGTGCCACAGGCTGCTCAGGGACCTTGTTTCCCCTTTCCTCTGGAAATATACAAACAGTAGGCAGAACCCATCTGTGCCGAACAGGTTCTTGTTCTGAACAAGCAAGCATTAGCCCTGGGGAAACAAGGTGGCACAAGTCATGACTGAGTTAAATGTGTTTATTGGCTAGTTAATCACTGTGTTTAAACATTTGCCCAAGGCTACAAAAGAAGGCAAAGACATAGATCCTAAGATATAGGAAGAAAAGAATCATGTTCACTCTTAGGTTCAGAAAGGCAAAGATCAGAGCACCTGGAGGCTGGCTATGGCGGGAGGAGAGATAGCAAGGGGGAACCCTCAGGCGCATATTCAAGGTGGTGGGCCTGGGCATCTCTGTGGTGTGTCTGGGGCTTTCTTCTAGAGAAGGCTTCAACACTGTGACTGGAGGTAGCCGGGAGCGCACTGAGGCCTCCGCATCCCTGGGCAGTGTCTAAGACACTGTTGTGTCCCAGGGCAATGCCATGCCATGATCTGGCATGGCCCCTGTGGGTGGACAGGGCTGGGGATGACACTGCTTGGAAGAGTGAAGGGCTCTGGTGGTTAGGCTGGGTGGTCAGTCATGCTGGGCAGGCCAGCCCTTGCCTTGGGTTAAGTGGTGGTGGTGGTCGAGAGGGCCTTCCTAAGCTCCTCACTCCTCTTGCGGTCAATGTCTTCCATTTCCCGTCGTTTCTGCAAAGAGCCACCAGGAAGAGCCACTGTCATGGCAGGACAACGTGCTGGGAGCTTGACGCCTGAGATCTAACTGTCCTAGTGCTGGTGAGGGCCCCTCCCACTTCACTACTCTTTTCCACTTGGGCGGGCTCCTACCTGGGAGATTTCAGCCAGGATGATTCCTCGGTATTGCTTGCCCCGTCCCAGAGACTCCATGGCAGTCAAGAATTCTTTCCTGTCCTGGATTTCCTTCACCACTGCACAGAGGGGAAGGATCGTCAGTGCACAGGGCTTACAGGAGCCCAGGCAGTGCATGGTGTCTGAGAGAGAACAGTGGGGGAGGGGTTTGTATCAAGTCATCTTGCTGTCTTGTTACCCCCCCGCCTCCCCCAGGCTCACATTCTTCAAACTGGTCCAGCTGCTATCAGTTCTACACACACAAACGCACACACTCTCACACACACACACCACTGGCTCACATTCTTCAAACCGGTCCATCTCAGAAGCTGGGGCCTCTGGCTGTACCACTTTGGGAGCCTTTTTCCGTTCCTCTTTGTCCTTCCCAGTGGCAAAGATATTTTGGAGTCTTCGTTTCTCCTTCTCCAGATCTCCTGTGGGGCCCCAGAAACGGCCTTACTAAGGTGCAGAGCAGGCTGTGCACACTGCAGGGGTCTGAGCTGTGAAGAGGGGCCTGTGCAGACCCAGCACTTGCCCCAGCTGGACCTGAGCAGAACTCATCAGGCTAGCAGTTGAAAGAACCAAGGAAGAGCACCAGTGAAGAGCTAATAGCGAACCTCTGTGGTGGCCTGTGTGTAGGGAACTATGGGGGTGCAAGGGTTAGAGGCCAGGAGGAGGGCCTCCCAGATGTGGGCTCAAGTGCAGAGGAGATGGACTCAAGGGAGCAGGAGGATGAGCAGCTGACAGCCACATGTCCCTCTGGGGGTGGGAAAACTGGATTAATATGAAAAAGGTTTGTAGAGGGCTTCCTGATGGCCTTCCTCTGCAACCTGGCTGGCTTGTTACTGGCTTACTTGAACGCTGCTGTCTGTCCCAGGTGGCTATGACAGCAAAGCCCCAAGCCCGCTACTTACTGGTGGCCTGAGGCTTGAACTGCTCACGGCTGTATGCCCCATTGGCTCGACACATGCTGGCAGGCCGGAGGTGAGAGTGGGTAGCCAGGATGGGAGGCAGGTAGATGGTTGCGGCCGGCTTCCTGGAAGGAGAGCTGCTCTGGCTGGACGTCGGGTTACACTGCAGGGGCAGAGGGCTTCCTCCTGGGAACAGGAAGGGTCAAGGGGAGCACTGGCTGGCTGTCTTTTCAAGAAAGAGGGTGGCTGCCAGTTAGAAGTCAAGCAGTGAGGACAGTCTGCGTGTCCACCCCCTCAGCCTGCTCCTTTGCAAGCTGCGTTAACAGTGAGGTGGCGCTCCTTGTTCTTGATGCTTCGAAAACATCCAAGGATGTTTCTTTGGTATTTACACATACGGTTCTTAAACACTGGATCATATCATATGGTCAGTAACAGACCCTTCCCACTCACCGATTTATCATGGCCAACTTTCATAGAGACACATTTGTATGTAACTTATTTTTTATAGCTGTGTACTAGTTGTTAGAATGGTTACATTATTTATTCAGCTAGTCTAGTTCTGGACATTCAGGTTGTCTCTGGGCTTTTTGTTTTTTGTTGTTGGTTGGATTTTTACTACTTTTGACAATGCTGCAATAAACACTCTTATACACTGAGGCCTCAGCTTTCTGTTGTTTTTTTTTTTTTTAAATTGTGTGTGTGTGTTTATGTGTGTGTGTGTAGATTTGCACACATGCAATACAGCATGAATGTGGAGATTATAGGACAATTTAGGAAAATCAGTTTTCTCCAACCATGTGTGTCCCAGGGGATCGAACTGAGGTAGAAAATGCCAGGCGATGCTGGTCCATGTTTTTAATCCCAGTACTCAGAGAGGCAGAGGCAGCTGGGTCGCTGTGAGTTCAAGGCCAGCCTGGTCTACAAAGCGAGCCAAGGCTACACAGAGAAACCCTGTCTTGAAAAACCAAAAATACAAAACAAAACAAAAAGAAAAACAAGCAAACTTGGCAGCAAGCACCCTTCCTTGCTTAACCATCACTGGCCCAGTGTGCAAAAAAACAAAAAGCCCACTGCTTGACTTCTAACTGTGAGTTCGAGGCCAGCCTGGTCTACAGAGCAAGTCCAGGACAGCCAAGGCACACAGAGAAAGCCTGTTTTGGAAAACCAAAAATAAATGAGTAAATAAATGATTTGTTTTTATTTTACGTGTTTGCTTGCATATATGGATGTGCAATGTGTGTGCCTAATGCCCACAGGCAGATCTCTGAGTCTGAGGCTAGCTTAATCTACAGAGCAAGTTCCAGGCCAAGATAGATAAACCCTGTCTTGAAGATAAAAACATTTTGTTTTTGGTTATATGTGTATACATCACACACACACACACATGCCTGTGTGTCTGAACATGAGTGCAGTGTCCACTGAGGCCAGGTGGGATGGCTGTGGAGCTGGAGTTGCAGGTGACTGTGAAAGCTGAGAACCAAACTCAGGTTCTCTACAAGAACAGTACCTGCTCTTAAACCACTAAGCTGTTTTGCCAGCCTGCCTCACTCTCCACAAACCTTTGTTTTTGTTTTTTTCCAAGACAGGGTTTCTCTGTGTAGCCTTGGCTGGCCTGACTCACTCTGTAGACCAACCTGGCCTCAAACTCAGAGATCCACCTGCCCTTGTTTCCTGAGTGCTGGGATTAAAGATGTGTGTCACCACTGCTCAGTGCCCAACTCTTTTTATGAGACAAGATCTCACTGTGTAGCCCTGGCTGGCTTGGAGCTTGTTACATAAATCAGGCTGCCATTGAAGTTTTGGTGATCCTCCTGCCTGTCTCCTGATACCTCCTGGGATTAGAGGTATATACATCATCATGTCTGGCTTCATCTTTGTCCTTTGAAATAAACTCCCCTCCAGAGGAGCATTAAAATTTTGCTGGGTGGTGGTGGTGCAAGCCTTTGATCCCAGCACTTGGGAGGCAGAGGCAGGCAGATCTCTGTAAGTTCCAGGCCAGCCTGCTCTCCAGAATGAGTTCCAGGGCAGCCTAGGCTATACAAAGAATTCCTGACTTGAAAAGCCTACACAAACAAACAAACAAACAAACAAACAATCCCTAGAAAGACTGCCCTTACTTTTCATGGTGTCCATGATGTGGCGTTGCTGGAAGTTAGTCAGTTTGGACTCCTTCATCATCACTGCAAAAATAACACACTCTGTGAGGCCTCCTGAGCTGTGGCACACCCGCCCATCTCACCCCCACCTCACCACCTCTCACTCTGCAGTACTGCCTCCCCCATTCCTCACTAAGCACTCCTGCTCTTCTGTCTACTTCATTTTTCCAGAGCACATGTCACTTAAGGTTTTTTTTTTCTTTTCTTTCTTTTATTCATTTATTTATCTATCTATCTTTTTTTGTCTTGTTTTGGTTTTTTTGAGACAGGGTTTCTCCATGTAGACTTGGCTGTCCTAGATTAGCTTTGTAGACCAGGCTGGTCTGGAACTCACAGAGATCTGCCTGCCTCTGCCTCCCTGAGAGCTGGGGGATAGCAGGTGTGCACCACCCAAACAGGCTTATTTTTCAGTTTATTTGTTTGTTTATAGAAATGGGCTCACTGGGCAGCCTGGCTGTCCTGAAACATGGCATGTATGTAGGGCAAGCTTCAATTTCACAAGCGATTCACCTACTTCTTCCTCCAGAGTGCCGAGAATCGAAGGTATCAGCCACTGTATATGGATTTTTTAAAAGATTTTTTTTTGTGTGTGTGTAAATCGTGTGCATGGGTGTCTGTATACACCTATGTCTGTATGGGTGCCTGTAGAGGCCAGAAAAAGGAAATGAAGCCTGGGAAAGTAGGGTTGTAGGGATTTGAACTTGGGTCCTCCAGAACAGTAGCGAGTACTCTTCTGAGCTGTCTCTCCAGCCCTTTAAAAACAGGGTCTTAACTATATTATCCAGGCTAGCCTTTCTTGGGCTCAGGCAATCCTCCCAAGTAGCAAGCTTGCATACCATGATATCTGCCTAAGGCCCGTACACTTTTTTGGTGAGTGGGTAACATGGATGTTGGGGGCTGAACATAAGTGTTCTTGAAGAGCAGTACATGCTCCTAAGCACTGAGCAATCTCTCTCCAACCATAAAACACACACACACACACACACACACACACACACACACACACACGCACAGGCTTCATGTATTCCGTAGCATATATTCTATCGCTGAGCTACACCCCAGCTCTGTAATTTTTTCTTGTTAACTTTTCTTGTGAACCTCCCGTACTATTAGAGCAAGAATTGTCTTTTGCCATCCCCCGCCACCTCATACTCTATTCCCAGCACCTAGAACAATATCCGAATCATGTTTATTCTTCATTTGTTGAAATAATGAATGCATATATGTTCATTCACGTAGCAGAGGCCGGAGCTACAATTGTGAGCAGAACAGGCACTTTCTTTGCCTGGTGGCATTCACCATTTAGAAGGTGATAAGTAAACATTCAGAGGGGAGAGTAAACACCCATTAAGACTATATATTGTGCTAAGCCCAGCGAAGGCTTCTACTGTGATGGGGAGGAAAAGAGCTTCATTGAAAGTGCAATGTAAGAGAAGAGCTAACCACCCTGATTCTCTGTCCTTTGGCCTTTGGCCTCTGTTCCCCACCACCACCACCACCACACACATACACCCTCCACCCAACCTTTCTGAACAGCACCGCTTCTGTCGCTGGTCCTCTAAGGCACTGACCTCTGAGCAGCTCACAGGTTCCCGGCGTGTAAGAGGCTTGCTTAGGGCAGCGCCGGAACCCAGCTCCTTTGCCCATTGCGTCCACCCTCTCCTTTGAAGCCATGAGAGGGTCGGGCCCTAGGAAGGAGAGAAGCAACGACCAGCCCTCGTCTCGCGTGGCAGTCTCGACCTCTCCTCGCGACCCCCTCGGGAGTCTGAGAAGCTGGTGCCCGGCCAGTGCCCGGCTCCGGCCAGTTCAGTGACCACAGTCCCCATCGCGACGGTCCAGGGAGGAGCGCTCACCCTAAGCGGCGACCCGGGCTTGGCGGCGCCCTCCTCACGGAGATCCTCCGGGAAGCCGGAGCGTCTGCGTCCGCGCCAAGCTACCCGGTTGCCATGGTAACCAGCCTACCTGCCCTCCCCGCGCACGCGCATTAGCGTCTCGCCGGCCGCTGCTTCCCGGAAGTGGTTGCTCCCGGGTCACGGCGCAGGCGCAGACCACGCGTGGTGCTGTACGGGGGAATTGAGGCGCGCGGTTTGCCGCTCTGCTCTCCCGACCCGTCAGCGCGGCGAAGGCATCATGTCAGACAACGAGGACAAGTGAGCGCGGGCCACGGAGGGGAGGAGTTCGTGGTGCGAGCCGGGCTCTTGGAGCACAGGCTAGCCCAGCTGCTGGGTCTGTGGGGCGAAGTCTTCAGAACTTCCTACCTACCTCGCTGATCAGTTAGGCAGTGCTCAGAGACAGAAGCCCGGGTAGCCCCTGACCTCCAGGCGCTCCCTGTCCGGAAGGGAATGTTGGTGGTGTGGCTTGTGTAGTCGTAGAAGTAGGGAGGGAAAAGCAATCCAGAGAATGGCCCGGTAAGGCTGGGAGCAGGCGCGGGCTTGGACCAGGTGATGGTAGCAGAGGTGGGCGGAAGTGTGGCTGAACACTGGAAAGCACAAAGTTTAGTGTTGTTTGAGGGAAGGGCTCATTTTGAAACCCAGGCTGGCCGGGAAATCGCTGTGTAGCTAAGGCTGGCCTTGAATTCGCCACAGTCCTCTGCTTCAGCCTCCCAATACCTGGCATGAGCCACCAGACCCGTCTGGATTATGGTCATATTTTTATTTTATTTATTTGGAGGCTGAATCTCACTGTATACCAGGTGGTTTGAATTTAAGAGATCCATCTACTTTTGCGTTACAAATGATGGGGTTAAAGTGTGAATCACCAGACCTGGTGTCTCTGTCTCTCTCTGCCTCTGTTTCTGTCTCTCTCTCTCAAACACACACACAAGACAGACAGACAGAGACAGGGTCTCAGCTATTCATTATGTAGGTCAGGCTAGCCTCAAATGCATATAAATCGACCTGCCTCTTCCTCCCAAACACTGGGGTTTGCAGTTGTATGCCACCATGTCTGGCTCATATATATCGTGTGTGTGTGTGTGTGTGTGTGTGTGTGTGTGTGTATACATATATAGGATGTACATATCAGCCTGATTTGCAGAGTGAGTTCAAGGGAACATAACAAGGGCGTCTTTGGCGCTTTGGGCCTGGCTCCTGATATATTTTAAAGATAGAGCCATAAGGATTTCCTGGTGGGCTGCTGCATGTGTTAGGTCAAAAGAGAAGATAAACTGTGGAAGTCCTAATATAGCTCTATCACTCAGAACTCAGAGGCTGGCTGTGGTGGCTCACACCTGTAATCCTTGCATTTGGGATGCCAAGGCAGGAGGATTGCCGTGGACTAGATGTCTGTACTATATAGGGGGTTTCAGGCCCGCCTGAGTTACATGGTGGACAGAGTGAGACTCTGTCCCCAAAACAAGCAGCCAGAGCCGGGTGAGGTGGCGCACACCTGTAATTCCAGCCCTCGGGGAGGCAGAGACAGGCGGATCGCTGTGAGTTCGAGGCCAGCCTGTTCCATAAAGCAAGTCCAGGACAGCTGAGGCTACCCAGAGAAACCCTGTCTAGCCAAGCAGACAAATAAAACACGGGCAGAAATACAATAAAAGCAGAGATGTGTCGACCAGGGTAGTGAGTGCCAGTAGAGAAGAGATGGCTACTGAGTCACTGAGGAAGAACAGAACCCGGAAAAGGTTGAAAAGGAGCCCTCCTTCCCCCAGAGTGTGAAGCAGGAGGGAAGAGCCAAGGGTTCAAACTGTTAGAAGAAGATGACTGAGATCAGGAAGGATTTGGCAATGTAAAGATCATCAGTGAAGCTAGCAGTGGTGCTCGCCTTTAATCCCAACACTCTGGAGGCAGAGTTAGGCAGGTCTCTGTGAGTGAGTTCAAGGCCAGCCTGGTCTACAGAGTGAGTTCCAGGACTGCCAGGTCTACACAGAAAAACCCTGTCTGGGAAGAGAGAGAGAGAAAAAAAAAATTAATCAGTGAACACAAAAGGGGTGGCCTTGGTGTTTTGGGGTATGCTGAAAGTCTTACTGAGGTGAGATTATGACAGTGGGAAGAGAAGAGTTGGAGGTAGTGAGTTTGGGCAGCTCCTTCATAAATCTTGCACCGTAGGAGTCTGATGAGATGTATCAGTGTCCAGAGATGGCGACTGCACAAGCTTGACGGCCCAGGTTGATCCCTAGGGCCCGTGTTAGAAAGAGAGAGACAGAAAGGTTGTCCGGGTGGTATGTGTGGGCCTGCACGCAAACACATGTCATGCACACTCTAACAAATAAAAGTATTTTTAGAAGTCTGGTAACTAGAGGCCATTAGGACGACAATGTCACCTTGGCCTTAATTTTTTTTCCCCGCCACCATAAGGGAACATGGAATTAGGCTGCAGCAGGAGGGGAAAGATAATTTTTTTTTTTTTTTGAGGGAAATGGGTGATGGTGGTTGCGCACTGGTGCTGAGAGTTGAACTGTCCAGGGAATTCATGCGTGTCGTGTATACACTCTACTTTTGAGTTATACCTCCATCCCTGAAGTAAACGCCATTTGTTGTTTGTTATTGTTGTTGTTCTTGAGACAGAATCTCACTATGTAGCCCAGGCTGGGCTCAAACTCCTGATTTTCTTACTTCAACTTTCCAAATGCTAGGAGTACAGGAATGTACCCTCATACTTGACAGACTAATATTTTTCTCCTTGTCGTAGAGTTAAAACCGTGTCCATGACTGGAGAGGCAGCCTAGTGACTATTAGCACTTGCCGATTTTCCAGGGGGTGAAAGCTTAGTTTCCAGCACCATACAGAACAACTCTGGCTTCGGGGGATTTCACACCCTCTTCTGGCTTCTACAGGCACTCACATCTACACACACAAACACATAGGTAGAATAAACCTTATAAAAAAAAATTCCCAGACTAGAAAAGTACATGTTTATGTGCTGACATAAGTAGTTCATAGAGAGAGAAACAGTGATAAACGAACCCTAGCAAAATCTTGAGGACAGATGGACAACATTGGAGGTAAGTGATGGTAAAGGTCGATTCCCTGGCTGAGATTTGCTGGTCCCCCGTACTGTACGTCACAGATGAGACAGCAAGCCAGTGATGCACTAACCACCAGTTTCTTCTGGCTTAGTTTTGATGGCGATGACTTCGATGACGTGGAGGAGGACGAAGGACTGGATGACTTGGAAAATGCGGAGGAGGTCAGTAGGCAGCCTCAGCCCTCTGCACTGCAGCCCAGACGCCAGGCGGAGGCAGGGGTGATGGCCACCAGAAGGTTTCGCTGTTCCGTTTCCAGGGTTGTGTCGCCCACAGATGCACCCTTGACCTAGGTCTAAGAAGTGTCACCTCAGCTAGGTCTTGGGATTGTTGTATCTTATTATGTACGGGTTTTGTTGGTGTTTGCTTTTGAGACCTGTTCTCAGTAGATAGCCTGGGATTTGCTGTTTGAGCCAGGCTGGCCCGTGGCTCACAGAAACCAGCCTCCTGCCACCTGCATGCTAGGATTAGAGGCGTGTGCCCCTGTGGACGTGACTTTGGACTGTTTTATTCACTGCGGTATCCCAAACACTCATAACCCTGTTTGGCAGGTAGTGAACACTAAGCTAACAGTTACTTTTTATTTTTAAAAAAAATATATTTTGTGTGTGCATGTATGTTGTGTGTCTGTAGTGTGTACGGAGGCCAAAGGTTGCTGCCAGGTGTTGTCCTCTGTCATTATCCACCTTGCTTTCTGAGACAGAGTCTCTGCACTTGGGGCTCGCTGCTTTAGCGGGGCTGTCAGCCAGTCCCAGAAAGCCCTCTGTTGCTACCTCGTGGTTCTGTGGTGACAGGCACACACTATTGTATACCCAGATTTTTACATGGAGACCAAGGGTCCAATTTTAGGTCCTTCAGTTTGGGCAGCAAGCACTTTACCACTGAGATAAACCCTAACCCTTAATTCTTGGTTTCAGAACCACGTAAACTCTCGCCACAGGCTCTGCACCATCCTGGCGATGGCTGTTGCCTCATGTCTCTGTGGTGTTCTCCAGGTCATGGCTCTGCTATCAGAAACTCTTTGCTGTGTGTCTTGGCATTCGTGGCTGTGTGTGGCCAGATGGTTATTACTGGTGTGCATATCTGTGTGTGTGTTGCGGGGAATGGAGCCCAGGGCCTCACGTGTCTTCCACCTCTAGCCCGAGGAGATGTGTAGCAGGTCGTTGCTCAGTATGGTTATGATTCTTAGTCATCTACCCTGGCTGTTCTAGTCACTTGACCCATTGACTCGGTCGCCACATGAAAGATCAGGTGTTTGTGCCGAGCTTCCGCTTCAGGGTTGCTCATCGCTTACAGGGCCAGCCTTTCGGGCATGGCAGCTGACCCTAGAGTTCTGAGCACAGTCCTCTTTACTGCTGGCTTGGAGATTTTGGTCAGGTTGGCTGACTCTTGAAAGCCCCTGGAACAGGGACCACGATCCCTGTCTTCCAAGTTTGTAAGGGAGGCTGGAGAGATGGCTCAGAGGTTAAGAGCACTGGACTGCTCTTCCAGAGGTCCTGAGTTCAATTCCCAGAAACCACATGGAGGCTCACAACCATCTATAGTGAAGTCTGGTGCCCTCTTCTGGCATCCAGGCAGAACACTGTATATGCAATAGATAAATCATGAGTGTCATTGTTATCATCTTCCTACCTGGTTTACCCTCTTTGTCTCTTTGGTATCCAGGAGGGTCAAGAGAATGTCGAGATTCTCCCATCTGGTGAGCGACCACAAGCCAACCAGAAGCGCATCACCACTCCCTACATGACCAAGTACGAACGAGCCCGAGTGCTGGGCACCCGGGCACTCCAGATCGCGTAAGTGTTGCCCGTCTGCTGCCTTCTCCATCAGCTTGGCCACAGTGAGCCCCAGGCTGCTGATCCGCTCAGCCCCGTGTGCCAGGCGCTGTGTAGGGAGCCTGTGGCGTAACGTAAAAATTAGATGTGAAAAGTAACTGAGGAGCCAGATAAACACACAAAAAAGTGACAGTAAAAATCCTGGTCAGGCCTGGTAACACAGACACTCAGGAGACAGAAACAGGAGGATCATGGGTTCAGAGGGAGGCCCACCTGGATTATGGAGTGAATTCAAGGCTAGCAGAGCCTACCTCAAGGTAAAAAGTGAAAAGAGGTCCGGGGGTATAGCTCAGTGGTAAAGTTCTGGTTAGTGTGGTGATTACCTGAGTTCTGATAATTCGTGTCAGTGGTGAAGTGAAATGAGGGTGAATTCAGAGAAGGCTATGGCAGCTCCCCCGGGCACGTTCTACTTCTTGATGTGAGGAAGACTGGCCAGCCCGGGAAGAAAGCAGGGCCCTTCACTTGGGAAAGCCTGAGAGCTGTGGTGGCTTCTGGGGCCTAGGAAATGAGCAGCATTTTTTCCCCCTGGAAAAAACGTTTTTGGAAAAAAAATTTTGTCCTGTCTGAACAGTAGGCAGGCGGGCCCAGATCACCCAGTGATTGCTGTAACCTCAAAGGAGGCAGAGTGTTACGGAGCCCTGGCGGGAGAAAAACTGCTAGACTTCCGACATGTCAGTGTGGGAAATGATGAGTTCCGCAGGATGGACTAGGAAGGTGAGAGGAAGAGAAGCGTGGCAGACAGAGCTTCTGCCACAGGGTAGGTGGGGACACGCCGTTGTGCGCACCCCTCCCACGGGCTCACACAGTCCTGGCTGATGATGCCTGCAGTGTCTGCCTGGCTAAAGGGTTTTCCACGTGGGCGAAGTTGTCCTCAGTCATTGCACAATAGACTTTTCTCCAATATGGTTCCACTCTTGGCTCCTTTGAGTAAAGTTGGAGCCACCTTCAGGGGATATGGTCCTGTTGGCCTGTACTCTCCAATGTGGTGTTCCATGTGCCCATTTAAATTAGTTAATTAAAAAATTGTCCATGAGAATTGGTGTACTCCTTTCACCCCAGCACTCAGGAGGCTGAGGTGTGTGGATCTCTGAATTCAAGTCCGACTTGTCTATATAAGGAGTTCCAGGTCAGCCTTAGCTACACAGTGAGACACTGTCTCAAAAACCCCAAACCACCACCACAAAAACAGAACACCTACCCAAACAAACGAAGAACAAAACTCCCCATCCCCAAATACTGGGCGCATCTCAGGGGCCAGCCTGTGGCTCACAGTTAGCATAGAGATGGCACAGGTACAGGACATTTCCAGTTTGCCCAATGTTCTGGGAGCATGGCCCTGTGGCAGGGCGCCTTCCTAGTCTGTGCAAATCCAGCAGTGCTCACCACTGTGGTGAGGTGCTGACCTGCTGAGGATGCAGAGGAGACTGAAGATGTCACCCCAGCTCCCCAGGGATCTTCTGATGAGAGCTGGCCCAAAGAACAGATAGCCTGAAGTCAAGGCAGGTGTGGGTAGTGCTTCACAAAGGGTTCAGGAAGGCAGGGAGTGGCAAGGAGGCACTAGAACCAGGGGGACAGACGAAGGGCAGTGGTTTTGCACGTATCCCTGGTGCTGAAAACTGGGTGGGTGCAGCTTAGTGGCAAGCTTGCAGCACAAAGATGGCAAAGGTGCTACAAAAGGGGACCAGCATGATGGCTTCTCTGGTCCAGATGCCTGCCACCAAGCCTGACAGCTTGATACACAGGAACCAGGCTGGTGGAAGGAGAGGACTGATTGCGTCATGCCATGGCAAGCATGTGATCACACATGCACAGACCCAAATACACAAGATAGAGTGTGAGGAAGTGGTTCATAGTTTAAGGGCGATTGGTGCTCTTCTATTCTCGGGGATCCAACACCCTCTCTGGCCTCCATAGACATCCACACACACGTGGCATAGCTACCCAAAAGCATGTAAGTGAAAATAAAAATGAATCTTAACCTCATGCACAATAAAATAAATTTTTGTCTTAAAGGGCTGGAGAGGTTAAGAGGACGTACTGTTCTTGTAGGACAGCTGAGTCATAGCCACCTGCAGCTTCAGCTCCACGGCCACCCGACGCTTTTGGCCTCCACAGATACCTCCACTCCTGCACATACCACAACACAGACATACAAATGCAAAACTTTTTAAGTTTAAGAAATAAGAAGTAAAATTAGTCAAAGATTGTCAGTAGACCCTATAGGGACAGGTTCAGATTGACATGTGTCTGATGAGCCAGCGTGGAGCGCTGAGGGCGTGAGGTGTCCAGACAACCCCAGCCTAAGTGGGGAGTACAGGGCTCCAGCTTAGTCCGGGCTTCAGTGCTGTGTCCCCTGAGGGATCCCATGGCCTCTGTTCCTGCACAGCCGCTGGGTCCTGTACACCCAGCCCTGGGCCATGCCTTTGCTTAGGTGCCTTGGAGAGCTTTTGGGTGGGTTCCGTCTGGCTCGCTAGCACCACCTGGTGGCTGATGTCGCTCACATCCTCCTAACTGGGTGGATGGCATGTTTATTAAGGTCGTGGCTGCGGCAGAAGGCAGTCACTCTGAAGCCTGCACTTGCGTGTCCGTGGGGCACTGGTGAACGGAGGCCCTTCAGTTGTTCCTGTTATGTCTGGAGAGAGTGGGTACAGACAGTTCAGGGAAGTCGTCATTCACGTTCCATAGAGCTTTGCATACAGCCAGCATTTCTTTTGTCTAAACCCAGGGCATACATCCTCTACTGCTGAGCTACATCCCAAGTTTTGGGGATGTTTTGTTATTCAGACATTTAGTTTTTGCCCTTGGGGAAATTTCAGGCTTTTAGGAATAGCAGAGACGAGACGAGAACGTTTAGTCATAAACTAGTGAGTGTTGCTCTCCGGGTAGTTGGTCCCCAGAGTTACCCAGGCAGCTCTGAGGATGCTCAGACCCCTTCAAGAGAGATTCTGTCATGGTTGGAGAGACAGACCAGTGGTTAAGAGCATTCACTGTTCTTGCCAGGTTTGATTCCCGCCATGCACGTGGCAGCTCACACCCACCTGTGTGCCCCTCTAGTTCTAGGGGATCCAGTGTCCTTCAAAGGCATGGACCTACATGCAGGCAAGTCACCCATACACATTAAAAAATAATTAAAAACTTAAAAAAAGGAATCTGTCCTGATGAACTGGAGAATGTGGGCCCTGGATTTTGGCATGCTTCTTAGTAAGTCTGAATGTATTGGTATAAGCCCATCCAGGGTGATCAGAGACAGCCTGGGTTGATGTGCCCTTGTTTGGTGTTAGAGCCTCTGCTTGGGCCAAGCATTAGTTGGGGTCTGGACCTTTGTAGTGGACCATGTGTGGTCCTGGTCCACTAGACACTCATGGCCTGCTGTGGACAGTAGTGAAGTGGTTTTGATGCCAACAAATGCATATGTAAACTCAATGGGGGCCACCGAAGACAGTGATGTCCAGAGTGGGACATCTGAGTCTCTCTCAGGAGAGAGGATGATCTGGGGGAGGGAGGACGCAAAGGAGAACTGATCGTTCAAGTGTCGGAGCTTGCTTTCCATGGTTGTGGTGGAATGCCCGAGAACAGGTTCCTGGCTCAGGGCGCTCCTCACAGTTCTGGAGGTTAAAGGCTCAAGAACATGGCACCTGTACCTACGAAGCCTCAAGCTGCATTATAACATGATGGGACCAAGCAACTCTGCTGTGTGAATTTCTCCTCCTCTTATAAAGCTACTTAGGGGCTGGAGAGATGGCTCAGTGGTTAAGGGCACTGGCTGCTCTTCTAAAGGACTCGGGTTCAATTCCCAGCACCCACATGGCAGCTCACAACTGTCTGTAACTCCAGTGAATCTCACACAGACATACATGGAGTCAAAACACCAATGTCGTAAAATAAATACTTAAAAAAAAGAAAAGCCACTTAGGCCATCACGGTGGTCACACCCTTATGACTTTCCAGGGCCTCCTCCTCTTCCAGTACCATCATCTTAGTTTGTGGGACACTTAAGAACCATACCACAGGGGGAGGCATAGAAGTTTGTTAGGACTTGAAGGAAGGGGCCAGGCTGGCAGAGTGTGGCCCTTCCAGGAGTGTTGCTGGGAAGGGCTTGCGGGGTTGGATTAGGGTGGCAAGAATGAAGGGCCTCTTCAGAAGGTGCACTGCATTTAGGTGACTTCAGTGTGCTACCTGGGACACGGCACAGCACAGTGCTTAGGAACGGGGCTGGGCTCTGCCATTGTTCCTGCGTGACCTTGGCAGGTTACTCAGCTTCTTCTCTAGGAAAATGAAAACCGAACTAAGACTCCCCTTGTGTGAAGGGGCATGTGTCCAGGCAGATAGCAGTGAACAGCATGTAGGGATCCCTTCTAGTCTTTAGGGTTTTTTTTTTTTTTTTTTTTTTTTGTCATTTTCTCAGTGAGGCAGAGAATGTCTTCTTCCTTTTTACATGAAGCTGTTGGGATGGGAGAGAAATTCAGTGACATGTCCTTGGAAGTCCAATTCAAATGCAACCTGCTGGCCTTCATCTGCTCAGTGGCAGCCTCCCCCCCCCCACCTGCCTGCCCAGGTGACCCTGCTGGATGTGGATCAGGATACCAGATCCACCTTCCCTTACCTTGTCTCTCTCTGTCCAACACCTGTGTGTCCCTTGCAGGATGTGTGCCCCAGTGATGGTAGAACTGGAGGGGGAGACGGACCCTTTGCTCATCGCCATGAAGGAGCTCAAGTAAGCCCCTCAGCACAGTGGTTCCTCCTCTAGAGCCTGGCGGGCCTCCCTCAGGCCTCTCTGTCTGGGGAAGTTGCTGTTTGATCCTCAAATCTTTGGCTGGTTTGTCAGCCCCATGGGGCCGAGGGAAGGCGTTTGTGACAGGTGCTTCTATTACCTGTCCTCTGCTGCAGAGCCAGGGCACTAGCCTCTCATCCTGTGCCTTCTTCCCACACAGGGCCCGGAAGATCCCCATCATCATTCGCCGTTACCTGCCAGATGGAAGCTATGAAGACTGGGGCGTGGATGAGCTTATCATCACCGACTGAACAGAGCTAGTGGACTGTGTCTGGGCGCCATTTCTATGCCTGCTTTATACATGTAAATAATAAACATCACCCTTTTCACTCCCTGCACCCTGCGCTCTGCTGCTCTGCTGCTCTGCTGTGCCGCCACCTGCTGCTTCCTTGTTCCTGCTGTAGGAAGCGGGCACACATCGAGGGGGCCCTGTGACTGTTAGCTATCTCCAAAGCACCAGGACCCTGTGGGTCCTGCCCATCCCTCTTTCTATCTCCCCACACACCAGAGCAAAAGCTGCTGCAGGGGAGACACCTCAGCTGCCTTCTCAGACACAGATGAGTCTTTGTGCCCAGGGAGCTGGTTGCCACGGAAACCCCCAATTTCCTTTCCAGTGGGGACTGGCTGCAGGGGCTTCTCCCTTCTCAGGAGTATCACAGAGCAGGTCTCATCAAGCCAGCCATTGTTCCTAGGGACCTGCCTGGAGCTCTTATCGAAGACTCAGATCCCCTTTCAGGAGCGGTGCTTTAGCCGGAAGTGTGGGGGGTGCAGTGATCCCCCACTGTCCCCAGGCAGAGCCCTGCTGGACAAGTCAGCAACTGGAGCAAGAACCAAGCAGCTCCTCAGCCCTGTCCCACTCTGTCCCGGGCCAGGGCCACACGGTGCCCTCTATGGCCCATCTCTGGTCTGCCACCATGCATCCTCATCTGATTTGAGCTGGACTGATGTGCTCTTGGGTCCCATCTGAGCAGGAGCTCCTCTCCTGCCTCATGTGTCCCTGGGCCCTCTTGTGCATCCCAGCACCCACTCCAGGAAGTGCCTGTCACATCCTGAGGTAGACAGGCGTGTGCGGATCCCAGGTTGATGGGGCATACCTATAATCCCAGCACTGGAGGGGTGGGCAGGAGGCCTGTACAGTGAATTCAGGGCCAGCCTGGGCTACCTGAGACCTTGTCTTAAGAATTTCGTAGAAAAGAGGGTAGCTGTGGGCACCAGCATAGTTGGAAGGAAGAATGGCTTCTGAGTGGTCCAGCCTGCCCTCTGGTCCAGAGACTCTGAAGGAGCCATGGCACTCCACATGGGATTGGGTCACCCTGGTCAGGGTGGGAAGGATGAGTGGGGTGCTTGCTGCTCTGGAGAAGGGTTAATTTTGGGAGTCAGAGCCTTCGCACCCCTGCCACCCTCCTCCAAGCCTTTGGAATCCTTTAATCAAGTTGGGTGCTGAAATTTCAGCTCTGAAATGCTGCCTTTGTGCTGGCATCCAGGCAGCCGCCCCAGAGTGCGGGGGTCACTTTCTCGGCCCCATTTCTCTAAATGGTGCCTTTGTTCCCTGCTGGGCCGCTCAGTATCAGATGTGATTAAAGGGAGATGAAGCTTGGGCAGGAGGGGGAGTTAACCCTTAGGGGATAGGGCGAAAGGAGATGGGAGAAGAGGGTGCTTTTCCTTTCCCCTCACCCTCCGCATCCTGGTGCTCTTGGGCAGCCCCTCATTGAGCTGGCCAGGTCTGGGTTTGTCCCCTGTGTAATACACTGTCACTTGCCAACACTAAAATCTCCCACCTACTTAGACTGATGCTCATCTCATCAGTCATTTAAGAATACCTGACTCCACAGCCGCTTCTGTGCCAGAGCACATGGAAACCTATGTTCCGTGTGTACAACCTGCTAATGCTGGCTTCCATTTTTGTCTTCCCCATGGCCATTTCCCTGCTGCCAACACCAGTAGTGATTACGTGGCCAATCTCATGTGGTTGCAGTTCCCTCTCTCGAAACCCCTGCATCTTGCCAGCTGTGAGCATGCGTAGACTCAAAGCAAGTGGGCAAATGCCCTGCTTTTCAGAAGGGCAAGCGTCAGCATGAAAGGTTGGTCTGAGGTCACTCTGTATCTAACAGCGCTGGGGTCGTAGATGGAAACCTAGAACCAGGAGAGGGTCTTAAAGAATATTGTCAAGTCAAAAAATTTTATGGTTTCTGGTCTAGTAGGCCTAGGGAATGCCCCACACCACACTGCCCTTGGTTTCACAGAAGGGATTGGCAGTCTCCGGACACCTGTGATGGGTCAAGGACATAGTCCGGGTGTGAGAAGAGAGGTGATGGCAGAGGGGCACTCAGTGGCACATACAGGGCCCTACGCCTTTCCTTTCAGCCTTCACTAGTGACGTCAATGACAATACTCCAGTGGGGCCTGGAAAATGGCTTCCCAAAGCATCAGGCAATAGGAGCCTCTTCCTCAGAGGCCTAAAGGATATATACCACTGGCAAGGCCAGCCACCAGGGCCACAGTGGGATTGTTACTACTGTGGGAATGTCCAGCCAGTGGCACTTCCTGTCAGAGCAACTTGGAAGGGATTTCCCCTGACCCAGGTGGGGTGAGCTTGCCAGTGTCATAGGTCAAGGCCAGCATTGAGGACAAACTCTTGGGGAACACAATGGACGGAGCTTCTTGGCTTAGGCTGAAACAGGTGGCTGCTGTGATGGCTCAGCTAGATGCTGGCATGGGTTCTGGGAGGGGTGTGTGTGTATGAAGGGGTGCAGCCACAGAAGATGGACTCTGCATGTCCATGCTTGTGTGTGTGTGTGTGATGGAGGAGTTCGGCCACAGAAGGTCCACCCATCCAGTCTATGGAACCAGGTCTGCTCACCTAGCGCTAGAGAGCAGCCCACTGCTGCTTTTTGAGTTCCTGGCAGAGTCCCCTGTCACATGAGCAGAGAAGCCTCAGTGAGTGGAGCAGAAGGTAGTGAGTTAGAGCCGGGCCTGGGAAGAATGGGTGGCCCCTGTGTGTGGCTCCCGAGGCTTTCAGATCCTGGGGCAAAGGTCCACCTGTCAGGAGGCTGGCTTCACCCACCACCCCTCTGTCCTTAGGGGAGAAAGATTCTAGGAACCTCTCACCTCTGCACTCTCCCAGCTGCTTGCAGAAAAATCTCTGAAGAAGCACAAAGATGGGGGTAAGAGACCAAGAGACGGGCCAAGTCAGGCCACCAAGCAGGCGACCGGAAGCTTTGATTTTATTATTTGGAGTGCTTAATGCAAGTTAATCCGAGCTGGAGTAGCTAGAGGAGGGGTAGGAACTTGGCGACTACGGAGATAAATAAGGGGACAGCGGTGTGTTACATGTGGGCTGGGCTGCAGAACAGGAGGTGGGGAGACAGAGCTATGGGTTTTATTAAGGTCTCGCTGGGGCAAAGGGCGCAAGGCGAAGGTGAAATGTACATGGTAGGAGTTTAGCAGCCAGCCTGCTGTCGGCAGCCTGGGTGCTGGGCTCTGAGGCTAGGGCCCGTGCCCTGCTAACTCTGAGCCCGGGAACTTGAGGCTGACAGTCAGGAGGCGAGAAGGCTGGGTGAACTGGCCTCTTGACTTTCCTGGAGCCCCTGCCTCCTCCCGTGGGGTGAGCCTTGAGGTGTGGGAGGTGATGGGGAAAGAACGTGGGGGCTCTCCTCAGTTAGACAAGGGATGAGGTTATTGACACAGAATTGGATCTGGGGACCTCTGCCAGTTCCTTCCTGCTTTGAGGTGAGGAGGGGGCGGTGAAAGGATCAGAGCTTCCATCAAGGATCCCACCCTACTCTTCACAAAGCTGTTCAAAGCTGTCCTCAGTGAGTCCTTAGCGACAGGACAGAGCCAGCTCCAGGCTTTGAGGCAGGTCCCTGGGCCGCCTAGCTGTTAGGCACAGTGGCACATGGGCCTTTGAGCCCTTTGCTCTCCACAGAGAAAACAGGAGAGGTGAGGCCTCCTACCCTAACGCTTCCTGCCTCCCTGAGGGAGTGAGCAGGATGTCTCAGGTCCTGGGGTAGAGGGTCATTTCTGGGGATGGGTGGCCCCTCACCCTCAGTCTGGGACAGCCACCAAACTCATCTGCCAGCTCAGTCAGGGCTGGGCCTCCAGAGCCAGGGTGGGTGGAGGTCATCAGGGCAGGAGCTGTCAGAAGCCTTCCTGCTGCTGTCAGCCTCTGCGGCCTCCACTACCACTGCCAGGCCTGAGGCTGATGAGGAGCAGGACACACAGGCTGGGGGAGGGGGCCCTGGGGCCAGGTGGGGACTGGTGGTGACAGGGTCCCCTCTAAGGTCGGGACAGAGTCGTATATACTGGCTGCTCCCAGTGTGTGGGACTGTGGGATTGGGGCCCCGAGGGGCTGGGGTCAGAGATGGCCGTGTAGAGGGGCCGCTGAGAGGGCCCCATGTAGGAAAAGGCTGAGTAGAGGCCAGAGGCCTGGCCTGCGTGGCCATAATAGGGTCCTGAGGGCTGATGGTCAGAGTAGTCAAACTGGGGTCGTGAGATGGAGGGGAAGGCGGAGCCGTAGTGGGGCAGACTGAGGGAGGTGTAGGCGATCTGGGAAGTGGACGGCTGGTCGGTGTAGTGTGGGGGTCCCTGGGGGCCTGCGGTCTCTGTCTTCACCTGAGCTTTGGCATCCACACCAGGGGGCGAGACTGTGGGCAGAGCCACACCTGGCGGCTTGGAGATCCAGGCAGAGTGTCCACTGGCCACAGCCAGGGCACTGCCCAGCCCGTAGCCAGCTGCTGAATAGCTACCCACATGGCCTGGGTGCCCATTGGGTGGCAGGTACTGGTCCAGCTCAGTCACATCAAAGGTCTCCATGTTGGACATTACCTCGTGGCTGATCTCCCCGATGTCCACGTTGCCAAAGTCGATGTGGGGCTTCCCGCCCTCCCCCAGGGAGCGCCCATCCCTTTTGGGGTCTGCCTTGCCAGACTGCAGCTCTGTCTTTGGGGTGGTTGGAGGGGTAGGAGGGCCATGGCTCTGGCCTGGGTAGAAGAGAGAGAAAGGAGCAAGAGTGAGCAGGCTGGAGGCAGATGGGCCCTAGAAGGCCTCATGGCCTATCTCCAGGCAGCAGGATGGATGCTGGCCTCTGAGACTAGCTTCCCTGACATGCCGCCTGACTGCTGACCCTACTAGGCCATGCTGGGCCCTGTCTGTTCTTCAGAGCACCCTTGACATCTGTTGGTCACTCTCCTTGCCTGGCCCCGCCCGCCCCATCCACTTTGAACTCTTAACACCTCCAAACAGCACTGTGTCCTCCTCAAGCCTGCCTACTCCCTGCCTGCCAGCCCGTGCTCGCTCACAGGGGCACTTAGATTTCTTTGCCTGTTAATTTTCTCATCCA